TTCCTTCTCACTTTACAAATCATCCCAAATATTTTCAATTATGAAGTCATTTAGAAATTCTTAGGTTATTTCCATCCCATTATCGTTTACTCCAGCAATAACTTTCAGCCATAATGATTTCCTGCTAATTTAATAATATATATTTAAGCGCATACTTGATGGTTCTGTACATGGCCCTGTTTCAACATCCCGTAATACTATAGAGAATATTTTATTTTTAAAAAACGATTGTTGCAGAATGAAAATATGAAAAGTTTAAGATGATGACACACCGACGAACATATCATACATATTTGCATTCACGACAGAGAACGAGAACACTGACATGAAGCGAATGTAAGATGACTGACAAATGCGAATTTTCTGATTTATCAAAAATGCATTTCTACCTCTGCATTTACTTTACTAAGCATCTCGTTATAAACATTTTTCAGTCTGGTAATTTGTTGGATTTCTTACTTTCTGACTTTGAATTCATTTCCTTACATTCAATAATTTGTCAGTAGTTTCTTAATGAAATTATTTAAAATTTTTAAATATCATTCTTCATGTCGCATTTCTCATCTCTCTTTTGCCTGTGATTCATTTGGTGATGACTCCTGATCCGGTATGTGACTTCCAACTAGCAATATATAAAACCACCCACCAATTAACGCACCGATTGTCGGAGCTATTATTGGCACTAGAAACCAACAACGCCATGGATGCCTGGATAACACGCAGATTGAATAAAACTGTGAAATAATCTGATTTAACTCAAGCCATTACAATATCTTTCAAATGATCATAAGCTGATACACTGGAATTAATGCTCATTGTATTTGGAAACCTTAAAAATGCATAGTAATCACTTACGTGAAAACTTCTTTCCCGTAAATAAAATAAGTAAATATTCGTGGTCCAAAATCTCTTGCGGGATTCAACGGATAACCGCAATTCATCCCAAATCCGCAGCCAATGACAAGTAACGATATACCGAACAATAACGGATGGGCTGCGGAGGGTATCTTATTCCGTGGATCAATAATCACTAGTACACAAAATGCAAGCAGACCTGTTCCCACAATCTGAATTCGTTTAAAAGCTTCCTTTAGAGAAGTAATAGTTGATAAAAAAAAGTGGAAAGTTTGTTGAATTTCCCCTTATCTTCTTTTCTGTTCGTCGAAAAATCAGAAGAGGAGACTGTCTGCTGCTTGCTTTCATAACTCGTTTAATGGTTTAAATACCTGGTCCAAATATGTAGCTAAGGGAGACATGTATGGTTGCGGATATGTCGCAAAAATGCCAGCTGTTCCATTTACACCTGATATTGCTCTGATTCCACCATCGTAATTGTTTATTGCGTCTGTAATTTTTACCCTATTTTTTTAAACCGAAAAGGATTACATCATGATAAACTTCCAGAGGAACAGGAAATTTTGTTTGCCATGCTATTGACGAATGTATCAGAAAATGACAAACTCATAAACAAACAAAAAAAAGAAATCCACATATGTGAATAAAAAGTAGTTAAGTAAATAACGAATGCTACAAATTCGTTTAACACTGCTCTCTATGACAAAGTTCATATAGATAATTTAGGGAAACAATTTTTTTTTTTCGCCGGATAAATGTACCACGATAAACAACGTAGGTTGCTGCGGCACCAAAGAATGCACCGATATGTTGCGCGATGATATATATCGGTAAGGATATGATATCCAACATACCCATCGAGAAGAACATTATTGAGATTGCTGGATTCAGGTGCCCACCTAATGGTCACTTTTATTATTTTGGTGCAAAAGTATTAGAAAAGAAACTGAAACTGTAATATTTGAATATTCAATAATTTTTATTTCCCAACATGTTTGTTATCATGTAATGAAAGTGCAAATTTTGTAAACAGATGCAAAAATGTTGACAATCATTTTCACCTGAATGTTATTGTCCTCCTTTTTGCACTTCACTTTTTATTCGTTTTCAATATGTTTTGAATTTTGTCTCTAAGCTATTAGAATGAATGAAAAATGAATGAAAAAGTAAATGAGTAAAAAAGTTTTCTCGGAGCTAATAATTAGGATGAGTAAATTTGCATTTATATCTTTGAAAACATTTGAAAGTATTCGGCATGTTTCATCCAATCTCAGCTGTCTGTTGCAATGATATTAGTATACTCTTTCCAGATAAGTCTAATGAGTTTTAATCAGGAATAAATGTTTACCTGAAAGATGCGATACTGATGTAACGGATATCGTTATAGCAAAACCCCATCCGACATTTATATGAATCCAAGTATTGAAATTACCATGAGGAAGGTGAAATTGTGCAATAATACTTGTTCCGATAAACCAAAATTTCACAAAATTAAAATGATATATTACTACTATTACCATATTTAACTGATAGAATTAGTTGTAATTAACTGATTGCAATAAACTTTGTCACTATAATAATACAAAAAAATCATCATGCACTGTTATTAGCTGGTATTGATCGTAATCAGAAAATATTAGATTGATACAAAAGTCACTACGCATTTTGCAACCTTCTAATTTGTTGTTCCCATACATCCTTGAACAGGTGTATTGTGTATCATTTTAAACACTTCTTTATTGCTTTAAACTTTTTCTCCCTTGATAATTTGTGTTACATTTATTTGAAGGTAAGGGAATGATATTTGTGGGGAGGGGGGGGGGGGGGATATGAGAGACTTGAAGATGAAGAGCGCAGTGATCGTACAGTAACCAACTGGAAGTAATTCTCGAGGTTCGAAAATTGCTGGGTCTTTCAGTACAGCATGCTTCCTAATGTTGCAAGCCATAAGTCGTATAAAGGTCCCCGGAAAAGAACTTCTCCAAAAAAAAAAAAGAGAAAAAGAGTACTGCATAGAACCAATTATTTTGTTAGCTTTAAACAAAAACCCTTCGGATTTAAAAAACAAGCGAATAGGTCCGTGAAGTGGGAATAAAACTGAATTTTTACAGATATACCTAAGCTTACCAAGAGAATAAATGTGCCAACAACTTCTGCTAATGCGTTTCTCAATAATTTAGATTTAATCTGAATGATATTTCGAATCAGTTCGGGTGAATTCGGCAACTTGAACCATTCATTGTCTCTAGCTATACTTGAAGCACTCATCGTTTCTAGCTGATTCTTATATACCTGAAATCCTCCTCATCATTTCCTTTCATTGAAAACAGAGATACTACAGCGACTGAAGTGCTATGCACCCAACAGTCTTATTCACTCAATAAGAAGATAAAGTAGACCGCTTATCATCCACTCACTTTTTCCCCGTACATGAAGAGGACAGAATTGTAAAACTATTCCAAAAAATGAAATTTAGGCACTCCAGACTATGAGCCTAATGCCAATGGCATAACAGCAAAATATTCACATAGATGGGAGTTGGAGACAAGTGTCGCTATTTTTAATATGGCTTGATATCATAACTCAATATCACCTCTCCATATTACTTCTCCAGGCCACTCCTATTCTATCTAATTAACTTGTTGATTAGGTTGTTGCGTAATATGTCCACTAATTTCAATTAATTTGATTTCATTTGAAACTTTTTCTTGTATCAATAGGCAAATTCCATAATACACCAATAATCTCATTAGTTGTAATTTGGCAGTAAAATTCCATACAGTATGATGTGATATCCAATGGTATAAATAACACTGCCGTCCGGAAATTTCGTACTGTTGCTGAGATCACAAATTGCAACCGTTGAAAAAAGTTATGAAAGATATCTATCAGTTATAAAACTATTTATAGGGATAATTTCAGTCTAAAATGCAAATCAAACCAGTAACTAGCAAAACTCTTGCAGGATTCGATTGTCACATTGGTTGGAAGCAAGACGATAAATAATCAGTAATCAATGGCCAATAGTTTTCTCTTTTCATGATTGGGCGAGGCATTTTACGCATTGTTTATTGCTATGGATTGATCAAATTAATTAACGGTTAATAATTGCAATGATAGGGTGACAATTTTCATCACCTAACGTTGATAAAATCTTGTGGGGCGCGGAGGATTCCTTGGTTTCTAGCTTAAGTGGTTTTCGATCTCCCTTAGCAAGAATGGAAGTAACTAATCAGCACAAATATCACAGATTCCAAATATTCCAGCTGGTACCAGCCATTTACATTTCGCTTGGAATGTCAAATAAGATTATACTACAAAAATATGGGTAGTCTTTCATTATTCCCTCTTTTAGTACAATCAGTTTAGCATCATTTTCTGATGGGTTCAATAATTGTCCCTAAATCATTTCGTAATCACAAGTCCACAGTTAACTCATTTTTAAATTACTTTCAATCCATTGATTACTTCAATTTCCCCTAACTCTCGTTTCTTTCAAATGCATTGATTTCCCTTGGATTAAATGTTTTCTTTCTTTTGGTCTGACCAAATCAACAGAAGCACTGATAAATGATGGCTCAAGATTCGGTCAGAAATAAATACGACTGCTGAATTTGATCAAGACATTACGTTTCGCACGAATATATTGCTCTTTGTTTCATAGAGCACATAATTCCGTTGATTTACTGCGTAAGCAATATTTTCTTATCCCCTCGGCGACAAGAGGTGCGTGATGTATCGCTATCGCAATCATGATTACTGTTTGATTAGTGGTCCGTCTCGTCATAAGGTGAAATGGAAATCGCTTGATCGAATTAAAATGGGTTTTGTTAGAATTGTTTCATATCCAAAGTCTTGCTTAAACATACTCGTAAAGATACTTGTGCTTAATTTTCATTGGTATTTGCTTTTTTTTTTTTACAAGCTTTAGCAGGTCTTTACAAGCTTGAAGTTTCAGCTTACATTTTAGAAAACTAATTTAAAAATGACGCTTTAATAACGGTATTTATGATGACATCATGTTGCCTTGAAGCTGTATCACGTGATATCACTCAATAGCAAGAACTTAATGTGTTTCTTTATGATTAGCATACTTTGAAATTTGATCATTTCCTCTATATCTGCAGAGATTTTGCAAATTGTGAGGAAACAAGGAAAAATTTTAAACTTCATAAAAATATTCTCTATTTTGAATGGCAGCAAACGACAAAGTTTTGTTTGCAATTTGCAGGCACTTGTCATTCTAATCAGAACTCAATATATACAACAAAAGTTAACCTTTAATGATTCATAAAGCAAATAAATCGGTCAACAACCACTTACCTTGCAGTGACCATTATGACGCTCCTCAAGCCTATATCAAGTATTTAGAATTAGAGCAATTAGTCAAACTCTATCCTAACTCTATTGCGTTGACACCGTTATTAAATTTTGCCTTTTACTTCATCCACATATGTTTAATCGACTCACAATTACATTTCAACTGGAAAAGACCCACAAGTTTGCATCACAAAACTGATGTTGTATGAGGAGCTATAGCGATTCTTACTTTCCTCCAAGAGAGCTGGAACAGCAAGGTTATCGTAAACATGCGGAATACCTGACAGTGATGCTGCTGCGGAAAATTTGGTTTTCTTTCGTAACAAACAAAACTCGACTTTCTTGCTTCCTTTATTGAAAGAAAGCTTGTTTCCCACGTTTAGTTGAGAGAATTGTTTTACTAAGATTGAATTATCAATGGATAAGTTGAAGATCTGCTAATCCTTTTGATGTAACAAAATACCAGAAATACAGATAGTATCTATTAACTAAGTAGAAATTAACGCAAATGAGATGCAATCGTTACTTTAATTCCGAGGAATAGATTGAAATGAATTATTGGGAGGATAAAGTAGTAAACGGAACAAGATAACAAGCTGGATCGGTGATTTAAATGAAGTAGTAGAAATTCATTTGCAGGGATGAATGCGTATATAGTGTTTATTGAGTGAACAATGAGTACCAATATCAAATCCTAGTTAATTTATATTGAGAACATGTGAGTGTGGATTACAATATGAGAATAGCTCCACATAAGTCTTTACAAATCTGACAGTAATTAGCTGCAAGGAAATTTGCATATAAGATTAGTATTTTTTACATAAAGAGGGAATTGTACAGAAATAGTTTTACCAAATGTACAGCTTTCTCACAATTGTATTTGGGATTTGTACATAGAATAAAGCCTTTACAAATTAGTTGCTGGATGTACGCATATCTTAACATCAGAGAAAGTGT